TGTTTTGTTTTGTTTTTTAAACAAACAGACCCTGATGTCCATATGTCTAGGACAGGGAGTGTTCCTGTTAAAGGTGCCACATTAGTAAGCTGTGCTCATGTTGACTCTCTCTTCTAGCCAAATATTGGGGAATGTAGTCTGGTAAGTATGGGTGCTCCTACCGGGGGGGAAGGGACAGTGAGTTTAATATTAAATCTCTCCTAGAAAACCTGCCATGTGTTTGTCGCAGCTACAGGGGGCCCAGGTAGCATTTGGGACAATGGTAACATAGTTGGAAAAACACATCAAATGACACACAGAAAGAGGGTTTTACCCTGCAACATACATAGATACTTTTCCTGGAGGAAAAGATCCATGTCTCTTACTCACATTCCTTGATCCCAGAAACTCTAGTTAAATGCCTTGTACGTAAAAGGTGTTCAATAAATATTTGTGGGACATTTGTCCTTCCTGATCACAATACTTATATTCATTCTTCAGAAAATAAAAGAGTCCTTTTTTTATTTTTTAATTGTTTTATGGAAGTATAGTTGGTTTACTACGTTGTGTTAGTTTCTAGTGTATAGCATAGTGACTCAGTTATACGTATATATATTCTTTTTCATTATAAGTTATTATAAGAAATTGAATATAGTTCCCTGTGCTATACAGTAGGACCTTGTTGTTTATCTATTCTGTATATAGTAGTGTGCATCTGCTAATCCCAAACTCCTAATTCATCCCTCCCTACCCTTTCCCCTTTGGTAATCATGAGTTTGTTTTCTATGTCTGTGAGTCTGTTTCTGTTTTATAAATAAGTTTATCTGTGTGATTTTTTTTAAATCCCACATATAAAATCTCATATAATATTTGTCTTTGATTTACTTCACTTAGTATGATAATCTCTAGGTCCATCCATGTGGCTGCAAATGGCATTATTTCATTCTTTTTTATGGCTAAGTAGTATTCCATTGCATATATGGACTCCATATTTTGAATGGAAATAAGTCTTTTAAGCCTAATGTTCTTACCTTCTTTCCCACATACTCTTTCTCTTACTGGCTTGTTTCGTTAACAGCCAAGAAACAGTCATTCAACAAACATTTATGGAGAAATGACTGAATACCAAGTACTGGAGAAATCTCCTGGACATTCCAAGGGCATTCTTGGTGAGAACACAAAACCTCTGGACCAAGGATGCTGTGTGGGTTCCCACGCCACCATGATTTGGTCAGTTATTTTACTGTCAGTGAACACAGACCCTCTCCTGTAACCTCAAGAAAGAAAGGGGGTGATTAAGAAGACCCCTGGAACTGAGATTTGGTCATCATCTCCCAGTTTTTTTCTCTTAGTGGTGCATCTCTTTATCTTGCTGTGTCTACTCCATTCTCTTTCTCTATAATCAGACTTCTCTGCCTCCTCATACCTGAAATGATACATAGCCTATTGTGGTATGCTAGCCAGGAGAGGCTAGTTATGCTTCAGTAACAAACAACCCCCAGATCTCAACAGCCTGAAACAGCAAAGGTTTTTATCTGGCTCGTACTACATACATGTCCACCGAGGGTTAGTTGAGGGAAGAGGGGGAGTTCTGCTGATCAGAGCCACTTGGGAGCCCAGAACAGCAACAGCCTTGAAAAATGAACATAGTGAATCATATGCCAACTTTGACAGTGTCCACCTAAGTCACTTTGGCTCACATTTCCTTGGTTAAAGCAAGTCAAATGACCACACCTAACTTAATTGGGTGGGAATGTACAGTTTCACCAAGACCTGACTGCAGAGAAGGCACAAATATTTGTGAGTAGCCTTCATCACCGTCACACACAGCATCTCCAGCCCAAGATTGCAACTCCTTTTTGTTTCAGCAGCCTCAGCTAATGGTTCATATTTTCCATGCTCTTTAGTTCAAACTGCAGTGAGAGAGAAACTGAGGGGCACAGACCATCTCTGCCTGACAGGCCACAACAGCAGGGCCCTGGTTAGCCTCTGGATCTGTCCTTGAGTCACTGCCAGTCAGGTGGGGAGCAGGGATACACACTTTATCCCATGGCTGTGTATACACTGTATCCCACAGCTGTCCAGCCCACACCTCTTGATGCTATCCAGGGACCAGGAGACCTGTCCAGTACAGAATAAACTGTTGTTTAAGTCATGGTATTTTGCTGGCCCTAGCCCTTGATGACAGAAAGGTCTGGATAGTGCAGTCCATGAAGCTGGGTTCAGTCTGCCCAATGGTCAGGCTATTCATGGGGCAGAATCTCAACAGAGGTGAAGTGGAAATGACTGAGTCCAGGGACCTGCTATGTTAACCCATCAGTCTAGGGATCAAGGATATGGCACCAAGGGGTTTTTAAAACTGGCTTTGTACAGCTCCATTTCCACATTTGGAGAGCACAGTCTTTGACCTCTGACCGTAGCTCTAGGTGAGAGGGGCAAGGTGGGGAAGAGAAATGTATGGCTTCAACTTACACAATGAGACTTGAACATCTGAACGTGGAATTCAAGCCCCTTCACCACATGCCTCCCATCTACCTTTCCAGGCTCATGTCCCAGTTCACCCCCAAGTGAACCTACTGTTCAGCCACCATCAAACATTCCCTTTTCTTCCCTTTGCTCGTACAATATCCTCCTCTCTACCCAATGGCTACCCTTCTGCTAAAATCAGCTTAAAGACCACCAGTTTTCAGAGTTTTTATCTGTCTTGTTGGACTTGGTCATTTCTGTTTCTCCCTCCTCTGAATTTTCGTACCTACCCCTGCTCATTCTGAACGCCTGGAGAGCATAGATGGGTCTTACCGATTTGAGGATCCCAGAGCCTTGTGTCTGCCTGCAGGTGACCATTACTGGTGTGTCTGAATGAGTGTCTGTAACACCAGTTCATTTAAGGACACTTTAGCAAGTTCCTCTGCTATGTTTGGCACAGTGGAGAACAGTCAGTAATATATGGTCCCTCCAGGAGCTTCTCTAGTTCAGTTGCCCCATTTTATAGATGACAAAACTGAGGTCCAGAAAGGAGAAATGACTTGTCCTCTGCCACCTAAGCAGCCACAATTTATTGAGCACTTTGCTATGTGCCAGACAAAATGCTTTCTATTCTTTATCTCATTTTCATCCCTGTAACAACCCTAAGGGAAGAATTTTTGTACCTACTTAACAGAAGAGAAAACTGAGACTTTAAGAGGTTGTGACATGGCTAAGGCTAGACTGCAAGGAGGTGGCCAGACCAGGTTTGGATCCCAGGATCTAACTCTGGGGTCTTACTCGTGCCCCCTAAGTTGAGCTCCAAGCTGGGGAGTTGGCTCCCTGCGGTCCACACACCTGTATATTGCCCATAGGCCTTGAACTTTGTCAGTGCTCCAGTGCATGGGTTGGCATCTGGTGTTTAAAGGGTCCTGGTGTATTTCTGGGCCACGCAGTGCCTATGTACACAGATCTAACATTCTGACCATTAGGTCAGGGTATTTTTTCCCTCCTGGGCAGTTGAGTTAGCGGAAGAAACCTGATAAAATCCTGGAGAGGAACTTAATCATTCTCTGAAGGACTTACAAGTTGTTTGGCCTGCCTAATCTGCTCAGATACAGTCTGGGGATATTCAGTATCCATGTAGTACAGGTTGTGAATTATTCTTTGGGGACTGTTAACAAGACCCTCACCAACTCTGCCTCAGCCAGTCTCAAGCAGGGCTTTGGGGCTTTTTCCCCTCGCACCAAAGCTCTGAAAAGAGCAGGCTTTTCCCCAGTGAGGGCTGGGAGGAGTAAGAGGTGTAGGGGAAGTCCTCCTGCCTCCAAGCAGAGCTCACTGTACAGAGCTGGGCCTGTTCCCTCCTCAGACCTAAGCTATGGATATACAATGACTTGGCTGGGATAGCACTTACCCAATGTTTTGGCAACCTAGTACCTGAGTGCCTAACATGGAAAGAGACCAACTCCGTAAAATCAGTGCAAGAAAAATGATAACAAGTTAGATCTGCAGGCACCTCAGGGATCATCTACCCCCTGGATTTAAAGATGAGCAAACTGCAGCACAGATGCTAAGTTACTTGTCAAGGTCACAGAGCTGCTGGTGATAGAGACCAAAGTCCAAGTTGCCTGAGTCTAAACTCAATGGCCTTTCCCCCTTAAACTCACATCCACCCACCTACACAGCAACAAACACACCCCACCCTTTCCGGAAGTACCTCACATAGGCACACACAGAACTGAGCCAACTGGGTCCTATGTCCCTAAAGTATATGACTGTCCCTACGCTGAGGGACAGGGCACTGAGTAAAACAGATTCCCAGGCGTTCTGACCCCCATCAGCTGAGAGCCTCAAGAACAGCCCCTAGGCCTTCCTCCCAGCACTCCCTTTCTCTGCTCCAGTTGAGTTTCCAGAACTTGAGAGCCAGGGCTGATGCCGGGCCAGCTGAGAGCGGCGGGAAGAAGCGCGGGGCTGGTGCCGGGAGCGCACCGGAGTGGGCGGCCGATGCTGTGGCTGCCGGGGACTCCGGGGCCTGATGCCAAGCGCGCCGGGGTCTGGCGGCTCAGCGGGGCGACGCGCACCCACTACCTGCCTTGCTTCACCGGCCACCTGTGACTCAGGATGGGCTCGGCCGGGGACCCTAAAGGCAGGGCGTAGACCCTGAGAGGAGGGGGCGCAGAGAACAGAGGTTAGCGCGTCCGCCCCGGCACGGCCCCCGCGAGGCCCGGCTGCCCGCTCCCTGGCGTGCAGGTTTGGAAAGCGGGAGGCCTCGCCCGGCCGCCGCCTCGGCTGCTCGGGTCCCCATATATAGTCATATCCACCGTCAACTGGGAGGCCGGCAGGCGGCAGCGAATGGGCGAGCGGCCCCCGCGGGAGCAGCGGGGAGGGCGCAGGAGGCGGAGGGAGGAGAGGGGGAAAGGGGGCAGGAGAAAAAAGCTTTTCCAAAAAAGTATTGGCTGTCTTGAGGAATGCGGTCGCCCCCTTGGGAAAGTACATATCTGGGAGCAGCGGGCGGCTCTGCGCTCGCACTCC